AAAAAGATTCTGTCACCAAGAATACATGCGCAAGGCAGATTTGTGAAACGAAACAGAAAATAAATAATCATGTCATTGTCAGTGCAATGCAGACAGCTGACCTGTTTTGATTAGTTCGCCCGTTTCTCGTTTGCTGGCCATTTTTTCTGGAGTGTGACACAAATGGTGAACATGATACTGCCAAATCAATCAAGAACCAGGATACGGCTTGGATACGCTGAAACTTTGTAAATCGTCCTCTTTTCAATTGTAAACTTTATTCCAGTGTTACGCTAAATACATGTACTAAATACTAAACAAGCGCACATATCGTATTCATTTACAGCATCGGATTTTAAAACAATGACTCATGGAATCACAAAGAAACTGTTAAGTACGTATTTCACACATTACCGAGGACCGCGGTAGAGACCATTACAGCGGTAGAGACCCCTAATTATAAGCAGTCCGCGGCTCTCCCCGGCGTTCTGCGGTACACCGCGGTAATGACCGCAGTGCACAGCCCGTTTGATTTCCTACTCTTCCCTAAAGTACATGTATGTGCCAAATTTGAATGAAAACTGACAAAGCACGTCAAGGATACAGCATAAAAAAAAAAAAAGATGCCTGCCGGTCAACCATCTTTGATCCAATCGCGAAATAAATCGTATGGACAACGGAATCGGTCCACAGGATTCTGAAATATAACTCTGGACAGACTGACGCACACACGGACGGACGGATAGACAGATGGACGGACAGACTCAGGAACTCACAGATGGTCGGGGACATGTATCCTAACATGTATGATCTATGTACTAAATTTGAATGAAAACTGACAAAGCATGTCCAAAATACGATATTTTCAAAAAACAAGATGGCTGCCAGTCGGCCATCTTTGATCCAATTGTGAAATAAATCGTCATGGACATGTATTCTAACATGTATAATCTATGTACCAAGTTTGAATGAAAACTGACAAAGCATGTTCAAAATACAACATTTTCAAAAAACAAGATGGCTGCCAGTCGGCCATCTTTGATCCAATTGTGAAATAAATCGTCATGGACATGTATTCTAACATGTATAATCTATGTACCAAGTTTGAATGAAAACTGACAAAGCATGTTCAAAATACAACATTTTCAAAAAACAAGATGGCTGCCAGTCGGCCATCTTTGATCCAATTGTGAAATAAATCGTCATGGACATGTATCCTAACATGTATAATCTATGTACCAAGTTTGAATGAAAACTGACAAAGCATGTCCAAAACGCAACATTTTAAAAAAACAAGATGGCTGCCAGTCGGCCATTTTGAATCGGATCGCTAAACCACTGAATGTCCCACATAAAGTACTAGGCACATGCAAATAATGAATGGAATCGGTCAAAGGGATTCTGAGATATGACTTCGGACGGACGCACGGACGGGCGGAGACCGAATTATAAGTCCCCGTTTTCGGACTTCGTCCGAACGGGGACTAATAAATGATCAGCAAATAACAGGACGTGTGTATGAGACATACAGTGACTTAAATAAGAGATCCATACATTTCTAAAACTGCATGGCTGAATTGACAGAACCAATGAAGCCAATAAATTTTATAATGTGAAAAGTTTAGCAATCAACAGTGGCAGCTAATTTGCTATTGTTGATTTCCTGTTTTACAATACTTGTCTGTCACGTGCCAAAACAAATGCGCAGTTATCACCTCCATAAAAACACCTCCAAGAAAAACTGTCAAGTGTAATAAGGAAGTGCCTCTTGATTTTTACATTCTGGATTACTGTATACAAATCCCCAAGCCTTGACTATTTTGAATTTATAATAAAGTCATTAGCGACATCTTGAATTAGCGAATCAGTTCTCTCGCTAAATTTGCTAAAAAGACATGCACACGAAAAAGACACGTTTTACAGTAGTCTATTCAATATACCGGTATAATTTGTACACTTGCTTCACAAATTGCTATAAGCAATTATCACAATAAAAAAAATAATTTATAATGAAAATATTATGGCTTAAATCAGAAAAAACAAATCAAGGTGAAATCATTATAAGTGTTATTTTCAACATTGGAGTCAATGACAGGACATGATTGGTAAGGCACTTTATACAAGTGCATTTATGATGTTTCACTGAAGCCAATTAACAGGCACAATGAGAAATAATGTTGACATTGATTTTATTTATTATAATTTATTTTGGAACAATCATTTATTCTTTCATTTTAAACATATGACAATAGCACACCTGATGAGTAATGTGAATGGACTACAATTTACAACATAGATTCTACGATATTGTAGGGTTATATTCCTACAACAAATACATGCTGACCCAAATAAACATAGCAACTTCCTGATTATTACTATTTACTGTTAAAGCAACAGCAAGGACGAAAGTACTAGAAATCAAGCTTGGCAGTAATGATTCATACAAGCATGGCGGTCTCTCATAGCAGCATGGCAGCAGCACCACTCTGTGCGTAACCTTGAGAGAACACTGGTTAGGTAAAACACTAACCTGACATCCTTGTTTGATCTCCGAAGTCCCTTTCTACTTGTTCTTTGTCAGAACTCTCTTCTTCATCATTTTGACTTTCTGCTACAATGTCATTAGTATCATCAGGCTTCACTTCCTCTTCATCTATTTGTTCCTGCTCTTCATGAACAGTGACATCACCATGGATACTATCCTCCAATTTAGGTTCTTCTTTTTCTTCTTCTACTACAACGTCCTCTTCATCGTCATCAAAATCATCTTCATCTAAAAAAAACATTATGACGTTTCATTGTTGATATATATATATGTCAGTATTGTTCACATGGTTTGAATAAGGACACAAAATTGTGTAAATCTAATCATTATGCATTCTGAAGTTGAACAAAAAACATCTGGGAAATTGAGGTACATTGACTGACGAGATCTGTATCATTTGTATATATGAAAATGGAGACTCATACTGTTACTAACCACTTTCTATTGGTTTTTCTTCTTCAGCGTTTTCAAGGCTGGAAATCAGTTGCTGATACACTTGTACTTCTTCTTCACTAGCGGAACTTTCACTCTGTGAAAAAATTAACATCATCTTTCACTGTAAACCTAAATCAACATCAACTTTCACTCTGTAAACACAAATCAACATCAACTTTCACTCTGTAAACACACATCAACATCAACTTTCACTCTGTAAACACAAATCAACATCAACTTTCACTCTGTAAACACAAATTAACATCAACTTTCACTCTGTAAACACAAATCAACATCAACTTTCACTCTGTAAACACAAATCAACATCAACTTTCACTCTGTAAACACAAATCAACATCAACTTTCACTCTGTAAACACAAATCAACATCAACTTTCACTCTGTAAACACAAATCAACATCAACTTTCACTCTGTAAACACAAATCAACATCAACTTTCACTCTGTAAACACAAATCAACATCAACTTTCACTCTGTAAACACAAATCAACATCAACTTTCACTCTGTAAACACAAATCAACATCAACTTTCACTCTGTAAACACAAATCAACATCAACTTTCACTCTGTAAACACAAATCAACATCAACTTTCACTCTGTAAACACAAATCAACATCAACTTTCACTCTGTAAACACAAATCAACATCAACTTATGTGAAATACAAAATAATTGTTAAATGAGGTATATTGTTTTGTAAAACTGACGTTTCAATATAAAGATGCATCATTACTTACATCA